CTTGAGTACTTCTCCGTTTGGCAGTTGTATGAGATGTTCTTCTGAGTTTCCATCACAAGGATGTCTTCGAAGTAACCAAAAATCTTCGCTTTCCTCTACAGTTTTAGCCTGACCGCACTGATATACTGATGGATCGCTTAAGATTCGTATTTTTCGACGACGTTCATTTTTCTTATTATGCATGAATACAAGCTCAGAATCATTAGAGGAGTATAGCTGCCCATTAGCGTTCATATGAACGTTGTCCGGACTTATCCGATGTGGTTGACTTGCGCTATGAGCTAAAACGCCTACGTCATCGTTATTGATATAGCTGAAGTCGTCTTTGGATTGTTTCAACTCTTCATCTGTATCCACATTCTCTGCAGCGACAATATCTTTTCTATGAACGTGATGTGCTAATATCTGATGTCTATTTTTAAGCTTCTCACCATCCAGATCGTTCTCTTTTTCAACTTTCGATAATTCCGAATGTTCTTCTTCGGTTTCGAAATTGTGATCACCATAGCTTCGACGTGTGTTGTCCAATTTATCGTAATTGGTACCATTTCTTCAATATGCCGACTGTCTCCTGGTTCAGTGTCCATCTTCGCGACGTTTTCTAACGAAGGTAGAATAGTTTCGAGTTGCTTTCTAACCTTTATCAAAGCTTCATAGTTTGGTTGTTTACCCTGTAGTTGTTGAGCATACGTTTCTTTTTGCAGCTGAGATTGTCGATGCCATGATCCATTCAGAAATATCCACTCCATAACTGGACTTTGTACGACGTTGCTATTGCGCTCAGGTGCTGAACCACTTTCACTCATGACCGATCCAACACGATTCTCAGGATTGCGATGCGACCATGAACCATCGCAGAATATCCATGTTTTTTGGTCAGTTTCAACTTGATTATGCTTTTGTGGGATAACTTATTGGTGCTGCGATCTACCATTATTATCCATTATATTATGGTGGTTTTCTTTATATGGTTGATGTGGTCTGTTAGTTTCTTTTTGTACTTTATGAGGTCTACTCGAGGGATATCTGTTTGAATGCGTGAAATCTGATCTATATTCTGTAATTGGTAATATCACATTCAATTGTCCTATTTCATTTGCATTCATCTCATGCCAACCATATCGAGGAGAAAACAACTGAAAATATAATATATGCTATAATAATAACAATAATAATAATAATAATGGTAAAATAATTACTTTTTTCGCTTGGTAAATGTGAAGGACATAAGCTTATTTGGACATTAATTAAATATGTGATAAAAGAGCTTTAGCAGTTCTGAAAACGATTTGACAGCAATGTTATAATAGTGCGGATGAGTCAAGAGTGAAGAATTTTTTGATAACTGTATGGCACAGAACCTAGTATACCATACAAGGCCGTTAGACGAGATTACCGGACAATCAAAAGTGTATTTTTCAAAATTAGCTAGTTATAAATAATCAATGCAATGTGCTATTAAAGTATTAAATACTAACTTCGCCCCTACAAATACTTCAGTCTATTTTACATTTTTATCTGAGTCTATCATCGTGTCATTAGAATTCAAATCACATAATCCTATGTATTCCATGATATCACGCTCAACACGAATGCGTTGGCGCATCACGCCAAAAGGTGAGCAGTCGATAAGAACAGGTTTGACCATCGAGGTAAGTAACTAAGAGATGTGGCATTAAATAATTGGAATTGCCGAGTAAAAGAAGGGTGCTTAGCTCATCCCTCTCACATTGAGAAAGCCTATTTTAAGGAACGTTATTGATAAGTTAGGAGTAAAAGTATTCTAAGGGAACAACAGAGTTGAGAAATATTCCAACAATTAATGGTTTCTCTATCGCAACAGCAGCATCTTATTCTTTGAGCGATTCGGTTCTAGCTTCAATGCACAAATTCAAGTGGACAAAAAGCTGGAAGAAAGATTTATTATTGGAATTTCTGGCTTGTCTAGCTGGAAAAGGAAACATACATTGCTGAAATTACAAGAAAACAATTCGAAAAGCTTCAAAATGTTATGGTTATCAATATCGATTGTCAACTAGTATTTGTATGCAGCTTTAGCTTTGCGACATTTCCGCATAAGCTCAAGAGTTCTTGTAGAAACTGTTGGACTTTGGACATTTTTCGCACTGTTGTTAAACGTTCGACTAGCTAGTTGTAACTCTTAATGCTGCCTGATATCATCAGTCATATCGCTTATCATTGTGTCTGTCAGAGGCCTCATTTATATTGTTTACTGAATTCGTTTGCTCAATGCTGCAACTCTCTCTGTTTTACGCGTGGATAAAAAAATCGTGCACTATGAAAATCACTGGGCACGGTTTGAACATATTAGCAGTTTATCATTGAGAGGTATATCTGAGTAAAGAAGGTGAAAAAAGAAAAGCTTTAGCGTTGATCATTTTCTGTGGGATGTGTTTACGTATTCATGTTCAACATGATATTTTGGAGGTGACCAGATGCGACTATGCTCTTTTGAGGTGAACGATCAACACCGACACGGTACTGCTTATCACTCTATACATCACTGATATCGATTTACCGATCCCTTACCGAAGGAAGGCATCTTTGGTAGACCTCTGACCGGCCGTGAGTCTAACATATATCGTTTTGATAGGCATATAAGTCGTAGCACCTCCTACCACTGTGCTGCATCCCCACCTCCCTTCACACCTCTCTCCTATCATCTCATCAAATATCAGTTAGTAATTATTCGCTATAGAAAATACTAATACATAATGTTTTGGTAAATTTTTTAATAGTAGTTTTTATAGTATTTGTAGATCAAAAATAGGATCAAATTTTGCTAGAATTAGTCAAATTTTGTTTAGATGAAAAAATTGAGCAAAATTTATTTACTGTTGCTTGGCTATGAAGGATGAAATAAAATAGACGGTAAATGCAATTAAGCCTATAAGCTTAGAAGTCTTTTTAGGCAAACTAATGCATAATTTTGAAATATTTAAATATTGAGGAAAATGTTTACGAGTCTCGGATATGATTGTTGACCTGGTGGTTCATACCATGTAACATCGTTATAATCCGAACTTTTCTATAAAAAATATTGCAACTTCTACAAATCAACACAAATTGGTTGGATTGAAGCGTTGAATACTGAGGGTATAGAGAATTCAACACACCTTATGAGATTCATCTGATCGAAGCATTCCAGGTAAATGAGGTGAAGACGTTGTGGCTTCAACGACTTTCTTAACTATCTGACGATATTTTCCGCCAGAAATCGGGACCACTTCCTGATATGACGATGTTTTCAAAATAACAGAATAATATTGAGTGTGCTTCTGTCAACACAGTACTTCAGAGGCCGCTTCCTCTAACTCATCACTTTTAGAATTTTAGATTTTAGAACATCATAAGAGAGGATAATAAGGTGTTTCTCGTTGTTATAGAGCGAATTACAAAATATTCAGCTTCATTGATAGGATCATGACCACCTCACAGTATTATTGACCGAGCCAACACAAAAGCACTCAATAATTATTAATTTCAGAAATCATTACCAATTGCCTCGGAGACAATCATCTTATTATATGTTCTATGTAATGAGTTAGTAGTTTAGTAGTTCAGTTTTAGTTTAGTCTCAAAGTTCAGTAGAAAAAAATTTTAGATAAACATAAACAAAATAAATCACTCTATGAGTGACGAGCCTTCTAGACAGTCAATCAATATGTGATGCTAATAGACGGTCGACTCATAACAGATTACTTAACAGATACTCTGCCTTTTAGCCAATGAGGCAGATTCAGATTCCTTGCAGACAAAATAAGTTTCAAATAAAATTATGCAGCCCGTCGCTTACTAAAACTTACTCAAAAATCGAAGTGATACGTTTTCTACTTATCAACGTTTCCTTATTGCTTACATTCCAGTGCGAGCTCAATCGAATTCAAAATATAGATTTTACTAGTTGCATAATTCTATGGGCTTCATTGCTCATAGAGCTCATTCTGAAACTTTTGAACTATAAAAA